TCGTATGACTGCTTTAAGGCCACCATCACATCCAAGTGCGACAAAAGCGCTTCCCTTCAGATCATTACAAATACTTTTGATCCCGAGATTCACAAACAGGAGGCCGAGCGCTGCCCTTCACTGAAGTACAAGTCCACTGAATGCACTAAACTATACAATGAGATCAAAGACAAGAAGACCGATGACGAAGACAAGGATGTGATCATCTCTGGCACTGATAGCCCCCAACCTCGTAATGACAAGGCCTCCGATTCCTCCGATTCTCGTAGCACTCAAAAAGCGAGTCAAAAGTCTTATTCAAGTGCCAAACAAACTAACAAATTATTATTAACTCTTGTTTTGATTTTAATTATAATTTCTCGCAATTAGTCACATATTCTGTAAAATAATAATTTCAAAATTTTTTTGATCATATTTTGTAACATTTTTTGTATTCTGTATTTTCTAAAACTTTTTATTTAAACTATTTTTTGTGTTCTTCTAATAAAGAAATTTTGTTTTGATTTAAATTTAAGTGTCAATTATATAACTATCATTAAAAGTAATAATTTCTTAGCCACTGAAAAAGTAATTTTTTCATAAATACAGTAGTTATTTTTTTATTGTTTAATATAAAAGTAATGATATTTATAATTTTGAATGAAAAATGTTTTAATAATTTTTATTTTATGGGTTTAACAAATATAATATTAAATGTGATATAAATTATAACTAAATATGATATCAATATTAATATCAAAATATAATTTCTGTATATTAAATTGAATGTTAATTAAATATCAGACTTGTATTTATTTTCAATGATGTCGTTTAAAATAGTTTTGATTAAATTAGTAGCAAAAACCTCAATATGTTTAAAGTTTTGCATCAAATGTGTTTCATTGTTGTTATCAATAATCGTTTGTTCATTATTTTCAAACTCTTCAGAATAAGTGGTCATCTCTTGAGTAGGACTGAGAACAGCGACTCTGATTTCATACCTGGAGTTGACGTCCAATCCGTACATATCAATGAAGTTTGTATTCCTTATTAGAGGCGATGATTGCCATTGAATTTTGCCTTTCTTTCTGAAGTGAACGAAAAAGTTATGTTTAAAATCCTTTTGTTTGACCGGAATCTCGATTCTGGCGAATACTTTGGACGACTCGTCAAACATTTTGGTCACTAAAAACTTTATTTCATCTCTTCTTCTATATAACGAAGCATTCATTTTACACAAGATATTGATTAAAATGTGTAAAATTCACTTAAATATTATTTATAACACAAGTCATGCACTTATTTGTGTGAAATGAATACTCTTCTCAATGAATACAACACTCAAATCGTATGTGAAATCAATAATTAAATGCAATGAAACTCATGTCAAATATCTATAAATACAATTTGTTTGAAGGAAAGTTATGATAAACTAATAAAACACTTGTTTTCACTGACAAATGAAATATGTTTACATAGAAAAACTTATCTAAAAAAAGTAATATTATTTTCATAGTATTTAATTTTTAGCAATAAATTAGTTGTCAATGTTTTCACATGTATAACACTTTTCAAGAATTAGTTTTATTTAATACTATTTATGCTTTTATAAAATCCCGTTATAAGTTATAACACTTAATGAATATATTTAAAACAACAGTATTTTCTGAATTATCGGCTAATAAAAAATAAGCAAACATTATATTATCTAAATTAGATTATAAATTTATATAAATCTTATACAGATTTTTGATAACAATGTGTCAAAAATAAGGTTCTATTTGATAAATATGAAGGCTTTTGGAAATATTGAACACAATAACCATTTCAAATATGACATTTTCAATATAATTAAATGTTAACAAAATTAACATGTTTACTTTATTAACAATATGGGGGATCATAAATACTTATAACATTATTCTGTGTTGAAATCATATAATTTTTGCAATTGTAATACAGAATTGCCACTAATTGGTAAATTCAGTTATAAATTATATTATAACTTATAATAAAGGATTTCATTTAGAATAAAAATTTGCTAAATTTATTGACTTTCATAGAAAAGCAATACTTTTTTAGAAATAGAAAGTGATTTGAATTGTATTCAACCGCTAATAACTCACTCGCTATCGCTTTGATACCAATCAGTGACAGGCGGACCAAATGGTTGATCTTCTTCAGCGACGGGCACTTCTTCAGCCAAGTGTTGAGCGGCCCCTAAAGGTTGCTCTTCAACCGCTTGCGGGTCAACGGCTTGTTCTTCGGCCACGTGTTGCTCATCTGCCTCCGGGTTGACCCACACATACGGGCTTTGACCGGCGCTTTCAACGAACTGTCCTCCGCGGTCCGCTCGGGGCGGAGACTTAGGTCGCGGCCAATAGGACTGCGGGTCGGTTGACATCATGAAACGGATTTGTGTCATATCGAGGATCGAGTTTCCCTCACCGGTGACCACAAAAGTGCCGTCGTTTGCGGTGTCTCTCTGGACCACTCCGTGATAGATAGTCATGCCTTCCAATTGGTTCCGATCGGTGGACAAGAGATTCATTTTAATGAATGACTCGTTTTTGTCGCCGCGTTTTGTGTCAAACATTCGTCGAAACAACACATCGCTGGAGAGGTCGCTGAAGACCAGCATTTCTCCGCTCACCAAACAGTAGCAGCGATTGGTATTCAAGAAGTATAACAAATACCCGCCGTTACTCACGTACAGCACCCGACTCTTGTCTAAGTCGATAGTCTCTGTACCGGTTCTCTGTTCGGCGTTTCCGGACTCGTCGACGATCAGCACCCGATGCCCGGCGTCCAAAAAGTTGGTGACGGGTCGGGACGCGAATACAAATCCGTATTCGGTTCGGTCGCAAACGCAGGCGTGATATTGGCATTCATTGGTCGCCAAATGGATCCGCAAGAGGACGGCCAACGGCTGCATCTTTCGCGGCTCCAACACATTGCTGATGAGTTGACTGCTGACAATCGCGGCGAACAAATCGTTGGTGTTGTTCGGGAACCGAGTGGCCTCAACAGTGATCACGTGGTTGAGTGGCAAACCATTCTTCTGGTCTATGATCCACGTGTCGGACATTTGTGTGATTCGCGCATTCATTTGATGGCTCACTAACTCGTGTCCCATTGGTGTGAATTGAGGCGTCTGATGGAAAGTTGGTGGCGGAGCCATAGCTGGTCCCATAACCACCGGCACTGCAACGAGCGGTTGGGCGGGAACTTGTGGCGGAAATACAAGAGGAATACGCTGTTGAAAGGGCCGCAGGAATGGCGCCCTCGGCCTCGGCGTATGGCGTGGGGATGGGATAACTCCGGGCGGCAATGGCTTCTCATAGTAGGGCCCGATTTGATAGGGAGACCGACACGTGAATGGGGTCTTAATCCGCAATTTGAGCGGTGCTTGGGTTAGGGGGACGGCCCGTCCGGCACCCGAATAGCCACTCATTGTTTTTGTCTAATTTGTTTGTCTTTGATATGTATCTAATTTTGATGATTCTTCAAACATTGACTTCAATTTTTTTAAAAGTTTTTTTTTGTTAAAGTTTTAAATTTTAAAAATAAAATAAAGTCCTATTGTTTAACACATTAACTGACTATTTTTGAGTAAAAGTTTTTTTGTGCATGACTTTTGTTGTAACAGAAGTTTAAAGTTTGAAATAAGCGCTCATATATTGGGACAACTTTTTTGTGCTGCAATACAAACACATGTTTGCACTGAAAAAGTAAATAAACAAATGCTTTGAAATTCAAAGTTTAAATGAATTTAATGAATGAATCGCCAAAACTATGAGTAAATTATTGATGAATGGTTTGCTTTACGCGAAGAATAGTGTGAATGCATTGCACAACACATACAATGAGTGGACGTTTGGTCTGAAACTAATGTCACAAAAACGAAAGCAATATTACTATAGAGTTATACTGTTGTCCACAACTGGTCTCACGACTGGTCTGTACTTCACGTACAATACATTATTCATCAATCAATACAAAGCTGTTGTCCACTCATATAAGTAAGTGATCATCACTTGAGTCACACACTTATTATCATCTCTTTAGCCATTAATTCATACCAATTGCCACACTCTCTGCCAACAGATCCGGTCGATTATCACAACTCGACAAAGACCTCGAGTTATTCGCCGCAAACGTGTGGACAGAGTGTCAACAATCTGTGGACAAGAGTCCGGAATCGTTGCAATTCTTCCCGTCTGTCGGATGCGATGTATGGATCCGTTTATTGCATTACTATTTGCATTGAAGACATTGTTATAACCGATTGCATGTGTTTTTTTATAGCCGCTAACTATCGGCACATTAGGTCTGCCGTCCGGAGCTGTGATTGGTTTGCCATTTCCGCTGACTTACCGGACCGTCGATGACGTGAAGACCGTTGACCTGCGTTTCAAAGGCGAACACAACCCGTATATGAAGTGGCGATCGGCGGCCGGAAAGGCGTTCATCGAGTCATTAGTGTTGAGCGAAAGGGCGAAGAAGTTTGCGATCGCGCGACCCATACATATGGCCAATAATGTCAACCTATTCCTCGACTGTCTCAACATAAGTGTCGCCACAATAGTGGCCATCGGTTTGGCGCAAGAGATCATCGCTCGAGTGAAAGCGTTGCAAACATTTGGACAACGATTTGTAGTGCGAAGTCTGTCACTGATTGTCGCTTACTATCTGTGGTCGACATTAAACCAAAGCATCAATTATTACGCGACTCTCAGAGCAGACAAACGGGCCATAAGTGTGGGCGAAGACTATTATGTGGGCGCTATTGAGTACTACACCAAAATGAAGACCAGAAACGCCGCCTTCAATGAGTTGACGGAAGACAACGGTTGGAAAGTGTTTACCGAAGAGGGAGAGATCAAAGGCCTCATTAGCTCAAGACTGCTCACTATTAGTCGTCGTATAAATTATTTAAAATCATTGAAATCGCAACAAAACAATGAACTTAATGTAAAACTAGAGTCAAAGTGAGATTAATATTGAAATTAATATAAAATATCATTTTTGTTTGTACCGTAATGAGCTGAGAAATTACACTAGATTTTAAGATAACGTTATTAAAATTAATTTTATTTCATTATAATTTATAAATCATGCGAACAGTGTTTTAAATGCAGACTTTTCTGATTTGCATATTCCTGGGTATTTGACGACTAATATTGAGATTTTTGCAATTTTTGAATCCATGAAATGGAGGCACTTTTTCGGTACTCATATTGAATGAAATGTTTTTAATAAGTATTTGAAATAAGTTTTTTGTTAATAACCGACAAAATTACAAACTATTTTACAATCGTTTCATTTTGTAATGAAGTGAATATATGGCTAACAATGGGGAGAAAAAAATGGTGAGAAATTTTTAATTAAAAGTATTTTAACAATTTTTGTAATTAAATTAATTGTTAGGAATTAATAATTCCACACAATATTGAGCCGTAAATGAAGAAATATTGGCTCTTATAAAACAGTTATGTCATTCATTTCATCGTCCGATTCATCGATTGTTATCATAGAGTTATCATTGATTGTAATCACAGACTCCTTATTATACTCGTCTAAACATCTAAAGTCTGATCTCAAGAGGGATGTGTCCGAAGAGGTAGCGTCGACATCCTATAAACCACATTCTTCATTCTGAATTGTGGTTAAAAATGCAAGTGGGATTTTCCTGGATTCACATTAATACACTAATTAGAAATAATGCAAAGTGTCTTAAGTACAGACTTTTTCTGATTCTCATATTCTGGGTATTTGAGTGCTCATTCATATCTTTGTAATCCTTGTCAACACAGTGTACATATAGTGTAGATATAGTGTACATATAGTGTACATATAGTGTACTCGTTTTCAATGAAATGTTTTTAATAAATATTTGAAATAAGTTTTCCGTTAATAACCGACAAAATTACAAAGTATTTTACAATCGTTTCATTTTGTAATGAAGTGAATACTTGGCTAACAATACATGCCTTTAAAAATGGCAACAAATTTTGAATTTAAAATATTTAAACAATGTTTGCAATTAAATTAATTGTTAGGAATTTATAATTTATACAATATTTAGCCGTAAATGAAGAAATATTGACTCTTATAAAACAGTTATGTCATTCATTTCATCGTCCGATTCATCGATTGTTATAGAGTTATCATTGATTGTAATCACAGACTCCTTATTATCACTTGTTTTCTGTTTTTTAATTTTCTTCTCTTTCGGTGTTTTATTTGATTGCTTTTTTGACAACGAATTGAGAAAATAAGTGATTTTCATGTCTTTAGATCTCGTGAGTGAACGCGAGCCCACTGTTAGGTAACTGATGGTAGAGTAGGGCGTGAAATGAAACTCTTCTTTGAGATAACCGTCGATTAGTAATAAACCAATTATTTGTTCGCAAACATTGCGTCCAATACTCGGGCTTTGGATGCCATCGACTCTTAACTTCTTGTTTCCCT